CTGTATAGGTGTGATTAACACTGCTGTATAGGTGTGATTAACACTGCTGTATAGTTGGCATTAACACTGCTGTATAGGTATGATTAACACTACTGTATAAGGCACCCTGTATAGGTGTCATTAACACTGCTGTATAGAGTAAAGTGATCTGATAACATTTAACAGTTTACCTTCAATACCTTCTTTGGTCAGCTTGTACCATAAATTCTGTCTATTGATCAGGTCAAGTCAATGAAACAACAGTAAAGACGATTAGGGCATGTAATGTAAATATAGCATCAGTCGTTGAACAATTCCGTTTGAATCCAAACTGAGCATCGGTTATCTTATTGTACTCCATGTCAAATTACGTAAAAAGTTTACCAATACAACTGACAATTGAAATACCCCTGTAGTTATCAGGGTCACCTTTCTTAAATACTGGAACTATATTTCCGACTGTCCACATACGAGTTTATTACCTGATTCAAAAATGTTGTTGAAAAATACAAAAAGACAAGGTACAAAAACTTCAGAACAATGAATAAAATATTTGTTCATCATATCATCAATACCACACGCCTTATTGGAGTTAAGGTTTTGAATAGCACACTCTTTTTCACAACCTGCAATATCAGCATCAAGTTCATCAAACACTGGTGCGTGAATGAGTATGTCATCATAATGTTTCATATAATTATTACCTGTAATACTTTCATCAGTTTTCAGCTCAGAGGATGCAAGGTTACAGAAGTGTTTTTGAAATTCTTCTAAAGATATCTCCTGAGAGACAGTTACTTCTTCTTTTTTCTGAAGTGCTTGTAAAACCGTTTTGAGTTATACTTTCTCAGATATTCTAACATATTTCCCTGATGAAGCTCGTATTCACGCTTCAGCTTAATTTCAAGTTTTTTATAACAGCTCTTACATCGCATGAGGTTTTCCCGATTTTCAACTGATTTACATAAATTAAAAGTAGAGAAAGCAATCTTGTATTCTCTGAACCTTTGCTTACATTGATAATTGAACCAAGGCTTATCTTCTGTCATCGTTTTTTTTTTTATCTCTGACATGTTCTGTTACAGTTTTCCAACAATAAGGAGATACTTTTTTTTTACATATTCTGAAAACTTATTTACATCGTTATTGATACCCCCTTCGCTAAGATCCGAGTCATTACATGGATCTAATAAGTCAGCAGAATTAGCTAGCAGTGTTTCTTTGATCGACTGTTTTTCGTTCTCATTCCATTTATAGGTAGTTCTATACGGTTTAGGCTCTACGTTAATTGGTTCTTGAACGGCGGAAAACAACGAGGGCCATGAGAATGATACTGGAGAGTGGTCAGAAAAATGATTAAAAACTCCAGACTCAAACTGTGCTATGGTCTTTAACATGGTATCAGGGACTAAAACATAATCAATAAGACTGGCTCCATTGTTACTGAAAAACGTATAATGACCATTACCATCACCAGCATGTCTACCATTCAAAATTTAAATACCAGTTGTTTTGCAAAGAGACAAAAGTTGCCTTCCGAATTGGTTAACATATAGGGCCATATTTGCCCTTTTACAAACATTGGAATCAGGAGGTATTCGAATATATTGGATAAAACATGGGTTGAAAATTCACTGACTCGATCAAAGGCATAATCCTCAGATAAACCAGTACGGCTGTTGAAGTCACCTATTGCTAAAACGTCACAATACTCTTTATATTTACTAACAGTTTCCTCTAGTAATAGCTGTTGAAGCGCGAACGTTTTGACGGACTTTGAGCAACGTCACTATAAGTTCTGGTCTGTCGCAGGTTGCTATTCTTCGCTCTGATGTCACTACTTACCAAAGGCCCCATGTACAACTTGCTGTCCACTATGAGCTTGTCTCTGACAAGCCTGGCCTTATGGTGTTTGGCTCTTAGGTCTTTATTTGTTGGGTAAAGTTGCCTTCGTTTTTGTTCAACTTCAGAAGGGAATTGTTCATTGATATAGAACGAAGTTCCTGCTAACATACCTGATCGCTTCAGATGAAGCGAGCGTCGAATGACCTTCTTTTTTTCACGAATGAAATTTCCAAATCGATGAACATTACCAAGCCCGATATGGTGCTGGATGTTCAATTCTACGTGTAGAAACTCTCGGAGTACTGATTCTGTATTATCGTTGAGGGACTTCAATTAACCACTGAACACCAGGTTGTTCTTCATAGAGCGCCAACTTTAAATCTGTTACACTACGTTTTAATTCCTCCTTATCAGATTTCAACTCGTTCACTAGTTTTTCGACACTTTCAAAGTTCCCTGTTATAGGCGTATGTGTGTGGACTGCTCTTTTCAGCTTCTGTAATTCATCCCCTTACTTTTTTGATACATTCTTCACCTCATCATACATATCACTAATTACTCTGCAGCTTTGCTCCGTATCTTGACTCTTGACCTTTAATTTATTAACTTCATTTTCCAAATTCCCTACTTTGAGAGATAACGAGTTCGTGGTATGTTGGACTTGATCTGACTTTTAACTGATTGGACCGAGCTGCCCTAGTCTGTTATTAGTTGACTTCAATAGTTCAAACATTTGGTTAAGTTGGGCATTGGCCCCAGCATCAGTACCAGACTCATCAAACACCACTTCTCTGGTCGCTTGGAGAACCGTTGATATTTCCACGGAATCCACTCCACCAATAGTTCATATAGACAACTATAACCCATTCAACGGTGTAGTCACTAGACCGTGACAAATCGAGGAAGATACGGCCACTTCACAGGTGAGTTACAGGTAAGGAGCACGTGTAACAGAAATAAAACGTCTATAAATAGCACAGCATACAATGTCTATGGCCAATTAGGAAAATGCATAGGGGTCTCAAAAGCAACGATAACCAGAAAGTCACACTAAACTGATTGTCACATTCTCAGATAAAACCTCAAAAGCACAGGTAGGTATTAAAATCGACGATACTCTACCGGGCATAATTATACCCAGCGGAAGCTTCATTTCTTCCGGAGCTATTTCCCATCCACATGTCTTGGCGCCATTTTATGTCAACCAACATTTACTACATTTATTAGTGAGTCTTTCAAAAATCAAGTAGCCAGATATGGATTCAGTTAACGGCATTAACTTTAGGAAACTTATTAAAAACAACAATTGTACAACTTGTTTTCATGGCTAATAAATGGCTACTTTCATATAAAGTAACCTTCGTTTTTTGCGATAAATGGCACAAGTTAAAATTTGGGTATTTGGGTATTTGCGCTGCCTTACCAGATAATTATAAACAGTTTTAATAAACTGGTAAATATCTTAAATTTTAGATAGATGTTTTGTTGAACGGTACATGAACTGGCTTACACAGCTGTTTGTCATATATCCGGTTGAGTAATAAAAACATTTTATTGTAATATGATAATAGAACATATTCTTAAAGGAGCTTTTCCAAAGCTGACACTATTTATATATCAAAATGTTTTATCTGAATTGATTTTCTTTGAATGAAAGGAGATAACAGTAGATTTGAGACAGATATGTGGGTATGTTCCAATAACATTTTGACCTGAAGCGAAACTTCAACTTGCTATAGTGACACTCACGTATGAATAAAACAATTAATGTATTTGATGTCTATACTACCTACCATACTGAGATATTGATCGTTTCCTACAGCCCCAGGCCTGGCTATCAGAAGACTGTGGTGATCAGTGCGATTCTCTGTGTTACCATCATGTAGGTCATACATTTGTGTGTCATAATGCTCACGAAGTCTAAGTTACTGTAAAAAAGCAACACAGTGTTATCAGATCAATCCTCAAATATCGGGTGAGACGTAGCACTTTCAATATACGTTTTGAAACATCGCAAGTTATATTTTTTACAATTTTACGTTTTATTGGGTCAATACGATATCAACACATTACTGCACTACAAGTGGAAAGTGTTTGCAGAAATTCAATTTTATACTTATCCAGTATTTGTAGTTATAGTGAGACGTGTCTTCAGTCAGAACAGCTAGTTCTTCACTGACATATGACAATTCAATAAAATACAATGTGCAACATAAATGCAATTCATATGATTGATTTTTCTTTTCTGGGATGGACGATCGTCCGCAGCAATGGTACGCCGTATACGTTTTGCCTCAAGGTGTAGATATTATCTGCCTTCAGTAAGTCCATTATAAATACATGTACATGTAAAACTGTTCATTTCCATTTCCATTTAAGTAAGATACATTACGCGACTCGGCTATCGACGTCTACGTGTAACATTGAACGCTGTATGATGTTGCTGTTGATAATCTTTCGTTTAGATCAACAAATATATTTTTGCGGTCTAAGACTCGTTTAATAATGTTCAATTTTCGATTCCCACCCGAGTATTGTTCTCATTTCCAATTTGCTATCACTAGGATATCATCGCATCAAAAGTACAAGATATTGTAACTCACAACCAACAAACCCGTCTACAGCATGCTGTTACATAATGCAATGTTTCTGTTCTACGCATTTCTGCTATTGTCCAATATCCCTATACGAAATCGGTTCATTGTTGTAGAAAAAACGTTATATTGTAGGGATAAATTGTCACGTGACAGAGAAACACATTAAATTTTCTACTAATTGCATTTTTAAAATTGGAATGACTAAAATAATACTGCTTCAACAAAATGCGGGATTTTGTAGCTTAATCTTTGGCGCAATATTCTGATGACGTCATGTTTGACAAAAATGGTCTGTGCAAAGAATGGGTTTCTTAAAGCAATCATGCTGTTTTCTGCTATTTTCTGGTAGGTTTTGCTTACGCAAATGTTCCAATTGAACATTCAAGTTTTCGAATGTCCTTTAATAACTAAGTTTAGTAATGATAAGTTACGCCGCAAGGATAGTGGCGGTGTAAGCGGCATCTATAGTAGTTTTCACCGCTGATACGGCTGACGTCAACAGGAGTCGGTCACGGCCCGACGACACAGATTCTTGTTCAAAAACTTGGCGCAGTTTCTAGAAGAAAAAAAATGAGTAGAAGGTTTACAGATTGCTTTCTTATAAAAATAACAAGTGTTTTCAAAAGAAATGCTATTAGTATAAGCAGACCTCATACAACAAACTTACTTGGACAACAGAAAAACAAAGTAAACGAGGGAGAGGGGGAAGTCGAACTATACATGTAAGTAAACAAATGATAACAATACTGCTGTTTGTCGTCAGTAGACGTTAACACAACCCAATCAAATAGACAGGATTTTAGGAGACACAAAAACACAAGTAAACTCCTACAAATTTTTTTAGTAATAAATACATAAAAAAGGGAAAAATCAGAAACAATGGACTCCAGAAAAGTAAGCGTGGTCTTGACAACCTGTGATACGCAATGATGTTTCTCTTCAGATTCAAAAAAGGAAACTATCAACTATAAATGGCAGAGTGAACAAAAAATATCCCGATTTAACAGGTCACAACTACTAAGAACAGTGTCAGAACTAGCAAATCAACTGTGGTGTGTAAAACTCGTATGCTTGAAAGGTTGATATTTGGTTAAAGTATTGTTGAAACGGCTGGATATCGTGTATCTGAAATAATTACCAAAACATTGTATATATGAATAGCTAGGCTGGTTGAACAGGTTTAGGAAGTCTAGAATCAATATTATACAAACGATGTGTGAAGGCTTTATAATGGAGAATGCACAATTCAAAATCATCATTAACGTCTTCTTTAGAACCAACGATGCAATAATGTGTTCACGTGAACTTGTTATAGATTTATTGTGAATGTTACCATGCAGAGTTCTCCGAATTTTTCTTTTTGATTTGGATGAGATCCAGTGCCTACGGCGAGATATTCACAGTTGAGGTCGAGGCCATCAAAGTTGTATTGGCGAAGGTAACTCTTGGTGGAATGTGCAAAGGTTTTTATTCTTGAGGAAAATCGAACCATTTTAGAGAAGGCTTTACTCCCGGAAGTGCCCCAGCCGACAGCAAGAAGTACCTTAAGGTCAGTGTTCTGTAGCTTGAGACTTGTCACTTGTGAGTATCTATAATAGCAATGCAACGTAACATCAAATTGCATTGATGATGTTGTGATGACATGATGAACTGACCATGCGTACCATATACACCAAAATCTACCGGAAGTGCAAGTCAATCAGCTGCATCGGAAGTGCGGAATTGCAAGGTACACCACTGCATACTAACGTTGCACAAAACATTTTAATGAATAATGAATGTGACATAGCAACATACCGTGACGTCATGAATGGTTTTTGTTGAAATTTCTGAACAAAAACAAAGTGCAAATGGGTTTTTTTATACTCGGGGATGGATGCAGTTGGCAATTCAGCTTTTTGGTTTTAGACCCGATGAATTAATGAATAAATAAACCATTTTACAAATAGTGACACTGCTGTTATTGCACCTCATAAACACTTTAAGAACCGTCACTGTAAAATAAATAAATACTAAACCATTACAGTTATATTACCAATGATGACGACGATACTTACAATTCCGTGTCATTTTGGTAGTACTTTTTAAGTTTGTTGGATTTTATTTTTGCAAAAGCGAAAATGATGTGGGAATACAAGGAAGCATCAATGTCACTGGGAGTGAACTTCCCGACGCCCAGGCGAAACTCTGACCAGCTGGTATAGTAGCACACCCGCCGGTAACCCGCATCAACTACAATGTACCAAAAGTTCAGAAACATAAATTACAGTTTCTCTTCCTGGTTGAGTCCTGCTGATTAGCAATTTCTTAGTATATTCATATGTGTATGATTGCTGCTATGAAATAAACATCAATACCACTATATTTATTACAAATGATTTCATGATTTATTTAAATCGTACGTTACTACGCCTTTTACATATGTATCACACTACTTGAGTGCTTGATATTACATGTAGTTAAGCCTTTCATAGTAGCATGGACAAATATGAAAAAGATCCACTTATATGAAACATGTCAAAGCTGAGCATATTTAGCAATATCAATGACCTAGCATGACTGCAGCTGTTGATGGACCTTACAACAAATACAATGGAAATTCTCAAGGTCGAGGAGAGCTGCTGATTTGAGATGTTTTCAACAAGAGGGCGTGGCACGACAACAAAACCACGTGATAATGCATATGTTAAGTATTATCACAGGAAGGACATAACGAAGCTCCACATTTCTTGCACGAAAATACATTTACTTGTATGTATCAATACACTTTAAATAAGCTGAAACTTGACAATTGGTTGTGTTTGAGTTTTCCCAGTGACCACTGGGTAGATTCCTGACGTTTGAAAGCATCTCATGTTGGATGAGTTGTATACAGTTGTCCACTACTATAGATGTCAATATAACTATATCAGAATTGTATAACTAAAGTAAAGGTACAGGGTAGGAATCAAAACGAACGACTACCAATGTGTATGTTACATGACGTTAGAACAGTGGCTATAACCAATGATGTGAGCTTCATCATGGTGTTTCTGAACAGGCTCTACTGTTCCTAAAAGTGCGTGTGGTATATATATATAGTATATCTTGAGTTTGGTGCTATTTTACCTTGTATAGATCGATATCTAGCCCGTCAAAAATGGCCGCTGTATCGCTGTGTTGACGTGAAGTCAATCAGCCCTCTAATCAACACGCGACAATTAAACGTTCGTAAAATGAGTCAGCATGCAACAGTATCACTGATTTTTTTTTTAGACAGAGATCATTGAAATGAAAACAGCACGAGTGAAACGTTTGTTTCTTATCTTATCACTAGCTCGATCAGCTAGTTATCAGAAATCAATTATTCTACCTTTTTATCTACATGTTATAAGGTAAGGGGAACTATTAAGTTTAAATATATTATAAGCATTGTTACTACTGGGAAATATTTGTTTTAGTCGTTTTTAACGGAAATATTCCATAAATACAATATGTCGCCATAGATTTTACGGATTTGTAGCTGTTCAAAAATTTTGATGTTTCAAAAAGAATATAGAGAAGAAATCTTCAGTGGTCGAACCCATGACCTTCATATTGCAAAGCCTACACTTTACAAATGTTGTCATATAGAAATTATATTAGCACGGCACCAAAATGAATGTCTGAATTATAGGCCGCAACGTATGTGAAAAACTTGACAGGGGAAGTTACTCTGAGCCAGAAATCTCCTTACCTATTTCTAACTTCTATCTTTACATCTACATACAACTTACGTTAAGGATATGGAATTATCGACACAGCATCAAATAATCTTATTTTTAACTCTACTTAATATAACCTTAATAGATCATACTCTAATTCTGTCCCTGTTCATTAACAGTTCACATTGTATATACTGACCCATTGGCGACTACAATGCGTAAAACGCGCCCAATTTAAGCAGTCGGGATATAGGGCCTAATATTTTCCTATTCTGTCTTTATCTATTTTTCTATTCTTGATGGATTTTGCTTGGTTACATCACCTTAGCTTTTTGGCACCATCCCACTTTTGACTATATTTCAGATGTAAGAAAAACATTGGGTTCTGTACCCTGGCCAAAACAATCCATAGCCATTAAGTGGTAAATGTTAGTCCCTGCTAAAAGTTAAGCAATTACAATTAGCAAATAGACCGTTTTACCTTATATCCGTATAAGGTGATTGGATGGAGTAATTTGTTTGATGCTTTCGGCCTCCAGCACATGCGCATACATAACACTCACGAAAGCACGTCCTAAGATGACTTTAGTTGTAAAGAGGACGCTAAATCTTAAGAAATAAACCTGATAAAATAGTTCTCAAAATATCTGCAATCGCGTTTAAGAAAAGGCACAGTTTTCTAAATTACATGTATGACTTATCTAACCCTGGCGTTGAGTGTTGGCATTCTTCTAAGATCCCCCGTAATGATTTTCCATTTTTCTACCATCAGTTCAAATGATGAACGGGACTTTTTCCCCCTGAAACCCCCTTCCTGTTCGAGCCAAGTAGGAACATTTAAAACGGTACAATAGTCATATATAAAAATATAATACATTTAAAGGTTGCTAATTGTGAGTGATAAACCTATCTGTATCCTTATGTAAGCTTATAATGAAATGAACCGGTGTTAATAAAATAATTTAAAAAAATAAACGTCGCCTGCGTCAATAATCCAGTTTTTAAGTATGTAAAAAGCGACATTTTGTTGTAAAAAAATGGCAAACTGTTAGTTCATTTCTGTTTGTAGTATTAAATACTAGTCATTAGTGATACATATCTATTAACCAAGTAGCGTGATGCTATGAAAGGTTGTTTCCTATAATGAATACTTTTGATTCATTGAGTAATACAATCTTTCATATTTCCCTATACTACACGGGCAAAAAACAACCACAAACAATCGAAATTAAGACAACAAGAGCACGCGACAGTCCCCTGAAGTAGATAGTTTTGCATACGTCAAACGTTAGACTTCCAACCGGATTAGGATGTTTTGTCAATTTTGAGCACGAGCTGCCGGGAGATATAATGTTTTGCCTCCCGGTCATATGATGTCTTTAAACGAATCAGATACATGTACAATGTAACATAGATGAGATTTAATACATAATTTCTCTTCAGGGTGTGTACAGATCAAGGTAACAGTCTACATAGTGATCATATCACATGACCATGTTGATATCATCTAATGTAATTTCTCTGTAAAGGTAAATTAGCCTCAGATATTGACCTCTAGCAAGTCCTAGCGTTAATGTACATATGCATGCATTTCATTAATTGAAACAAAGTGTAATAAATTACATATTTTATAGAAATTGATTCATTCGCCTATAGCTACTAGGTTAAATGGTCTGACGTCAAACGAATTATAAAATAATCTAAGTCTATATATTACGTACTTTAGTGTAAATCACACAGCAGATATAGGTCGACATGATACCTGTCGAAAGAAAGTCAACAGTATCTATCTTTTAAAATAACTCGTCCATGTTACCAGTACAAGGAGAGCCGACACTACCCAACTTTTTAAAGCAACTCGAGTTTCCTGTCCAAGGATAGCTAATGCTACCATACTTTTTTTAACAACTTGTCCTAATGATAGGATTTGTTTTGAAGGGTACTGGCCGTTTGACTGCAAATAGGTTAACCACACATATTTATTTTTTTACTAAACTGCCTTTTTTAGATCATAACTCATAACGAGAACTTTACTTAAATTGTACACGTCCAAATTATTGAACCTTACACACATCAATAAGATATCCACGGAATGTAGGTGCTTAATTTAACAACAATACTGTACAGTAATCACAATACAAATACAAAACACAATTAACAATTAAATTCCGACTTTAGATATGATAACATCCTTATGGCGTAAAGATTTTAAAAAAATATCTAATTCGAACATAGGGCCAAGGGGTGGGTCGTGAATAGTTAGATTCGTCCCTGAAAACGAATCCCAGACTTGAGTAGGGCTATAAAGATGTTAAATTGGCCTTGCTAAAGTTCTTCATAGTTAAATATTTTCCCCAGACAACCAACGTTCAGGAAACACGCTAAATTAAGTTACGGTAAGGTATGTTTTAAATGTTTTTTGATCTTTTGATTTGTCCGTCACTATATACACAGTAATTAGTTTTAGTCACAATATATAATCACTCTACACATGAAATATTCAGTACTTTTTTTATAACATTTTAATTACGTAGAAAAAGGAAATCTGCTTCGAGAAAATGTGATGCCGAAAACCTTTCAAATGTTAGGAGTTTACATAACTAACTAGTCTAGTACCGACCAGAACTGTACCAAGGGAGGTAAATCGTACAAGAACTACATGTAACCTCCATGTCGTTCTAAGTGAGCTCTAAGTAAGCGTAAATGTATGTCATATAGACCTACGTCCGATTAACAAAATAGATAGCTTATAGATCAACATAACGAGTTCAGATAAGGCATATACTTCACTGATTCACTTGTCCTTACCTTCTTCCGACCAAACTGTCATTATCAGTGTATTAATTCATTACCCTAATGGTTATCGCTTTTATCTGTTTTGCCGTTCCCTATACAAAGACCAACACGCAGAAATAGAAACACAAAAAAAATACAAAACTACAGGAAAAGCATTAACACAGAAAGTTAGCAGTTCCGCAGCAGCGAGGAATTTAACCAGCCCATAAACTACTAGTGCGCTATCAGAGGAAATATTACTAGATCATGTGGTTCCCATCAGAAGGCAATAATGAGTTTAGTACATAACACAACCCATATTTCTAATAATAAAATTCAAGTTATACATTGTACAAGTTTATATACACCGCGCGCCGAGATCTACATTGTGTTTTTGGTCGAGCGGCGTAGCTGTGGGCAAATAACACTACTTTTTTTTGTTTCGTGACGTCGTATACTTTTAATGTTGTCATCGAATCCATCATTGTAAGATACATATCAGTAAGTCATAAGGAAATATCAATTACAATGTGTTTATGCCCAATAGTGCTACCGTAGTTCGTCAGTGAAAAGCAGCATAATGAATCGTTAGTAAAGAAAGCGGACACATGAAACTTTTAATCCAACATACGGCAAGAGCAAGAACCATTTCCAGGACCTATATTCAGATTTTGTAACAGTTGATTGAAAATGCACGGCAAGACCGGATTTCGAACCCGGGAACCTTCGAACTCTAGACGGACGCTCTACCAATTGCGCTACGTGGTCGCCGGCCAACGACGAGTGCAGCTCCGCTGTACATTATTATGATGCCTTAATATTTCAATTCCTGCTCAAGTTGGACTCAATGCAACTTCTAAATGTAACCTGTTTCAAATATTGCCTGTGCGTATGATTTTGGAAACTTTTGACATGTTTTTGACATGTTTTTAATCTATTCACACGTTTAAATAAAGAACTACCACTTGATGAGATTCTACGTTTTTATTGAAGTTAGTACGAAGATAAGAAATTGTTCGAACCAAAACGATCAATCAGCAAAATAGTATCAGCTCACGGATGCTAGCCGTAGTAACAAGTCATGTACTGCCCTAGAAATGCTCCCGCCAGCTACCCCTTCTGCCTCTTGTGTCAGTATCAACTCCGGTACATATCGAAAACAACGTAGATCCATGTGGTCCCGTCTTATATGAAATGCAGTCGAACATCCAACTGCCATTTCAATTTGTTTTGTCCTTTCAAGCCACGTCTGGTTTCCTGACTAATTTAGTTACTGCAGCTCCACATTCCAAAAGATGAAGAACCTCGAAATTTAGCGGCTCTCCACTTCGAGCTAGTAAAAAGATGGCTGCCGTAGCCTGCGCACCGCGTTTAGACATTACTCTTCTGCGACATTTAACATATTGTTTTGCTTGTGTTTTGTTTCTTCATAAGTTCGCAGTATTATACTATCAGCGTACACCATCATGTTGTATGATGGTCCTTCAATGACGGAATATATTTTTTACATTACGTCAATACGTAGACTTGCACAAGCTCCAGAATCTGGGACAAACTATCAGAATGGCCGCTCACAAGTTCCAATTATTGAAAAAAACACAGATTGCTTCTCAGTTCATTAAATTTGTTTGAAGACTCGCTCAATTCATCACTCAATTAAATCGACCAAAGCAAGATTCAATCCTTAAGAGTGTTGCTTGGCCGATACTTATCGTTAGCCCAATTACATATACCCTTGAGTGCCGCATTTTGGTCAATCGGTCATACCTGTTGAATCTTGTTTTTTTTAAATAAATCTAAATTTGTTCTAATTCTTCCTTTGTTTTATAAATGTAACGAGAAACACATTCTTGAAAATATAGAAAATGAAGAGCATCGCGAGCGTCAGCATGATACGACCGTCAGACCCTCAGATGCGTATTGATGCGTTGGAAGCAAGTAGTGACATATTATATAAATGTTTTTACTGCCACCGTTTTGTTGATGACTGTCACCTTGCCATTCATTTACTGTGAAAAGTTAACGGAAAAAATTAAGTACAGTGTTGCCATGTCGAGTATGATACTCCAAAACGCGGAAAGTTGAAACTCGACATGCAGAAACTGGTTCCAACATTCAGTTGTATCTATTCACTATGCTTTATTATACATGTACATACTTAAATTGTTAGGTGTGACATTCGTACTATATCTATGCCATTTTAAGTGAAAATCCTTGAACTTGTATTGATATGGAAATGCATATTTCGATCTGTATACATTAATGTAAGGTTTTATAAATATGTATATATAATATTTATATCAACTGTTCATGAAATGCTGCCATATATGTATGTTACAATTGTATAATAGTTAATGGAGGAGGACGTTTCTAAGTTGTTTAACTTGTGTCCAATTCCATTTGATTTTTTTCAAATAAAATTTGTTTA